CCCCCGTGCTTAATCATTTTGAAAGCCTAGCCGCTATTGATACATACACAGGAGTAATTATAATGTATTTCTACAACGAATTTATTTGTTGCATGTGTAGATCTAGTATTTATTAAGATTTTGCTCTGAAAGTCAAGATCCATATCTTAGATTTTTGAAAAAATAATTGTATGTGCATCATGTAAAATTTTCTCAGGTAAGAGATTTTGCTAACTGTATTACAAATTATTCTTGTTTAAATATGTATTTCATTTGAACTTGGACAAGGAAACATACATGACAAAACCTAGACCTTGGCTTTTCATAAAAACTGTCAATGTTTTATTGTTGAATTTCCCTTAAACTTTTGAACTCTGTCTTACTTTTTAAACAAAATTGATTTATACTACAACAAAAGCACACGTATGTCAAAACAGACACACGCGACACTGTTCGCCCACAACTGAGTACTCGTACTGAACGGCCCCTAGGAAAAATCATTTGTCGTAAATGACATAATTTGAACCTAAGCAAGAAATATTTAGTAAGGATAAATGACGAAATTGAACTACTTTAACATGCAAAAATCATTTCTTCTTTTTTTTTTGGTATTCTTTTCTTGAGGAAATATGAACAGTGCCTGAAAACAGAATTTTATATCTGAGCAACTTAACTAGAAAGAGAAAACTAAACAATCTGAGAGTTTGTTTCTGGAACTCCTTTAAAGTAATTAAAAATTTTCAGAAAAGCCCTTTATATTATGTTACTCATTTCAGAATGGCCAATGAGATTCCTAGATTTCAGTTTATATTGTTAAATTTACCAATAACAGTTCTACTTATATTTAGTTTTTAGTATTTAGTAATCCCCTGTTAATTTTACAGGAAAATCAAATAGATTTTAGACGGCGTTTTGCCTCTGTCCACTTGGGCTCAGTAAATCCTCATACCATAAAAACAATTATACGATATTACCGATTGCATAAAAGTCTACTACAATGTACAAGGGGCCTAGAAGCGCAGCAAAAAATGAGCTTCAGAAATTAGCCATAGAAATTTAGCAAATTCAACTTCAAAATTTTTGTTTTGATTACATAATTTTACATTATTGTTATCCAATGTTGACCTTTTACCTGTAAATCATGGGTCACGGATTATTTTGAAGTATGGAAAGTCTTATATGCCATTTACTCAGTCTAAATCTATGTTAGATTCATGAGATTCAGAGAATAACCTCCTTATAATCCAGAAAACATATGAGCCGAGTCACGACAAAACCAACATAATGGGTTTGCGACCAGCATAGATCCTGACCAGCCTGCGCATCTGCACAGTCTGTTCAGGATCCATCCTGTTCGCTATCAGTTTCTTTACTTGTTATAGGGTCTGTAAGCGAACGGTATGGACCCTGATCAGACTGCGTGGATGCGCAGGCTGGTCTGGATCCATGCTGGTCGAAAACGCGCTATGTTGGTTTTGTCATGACGCGGCTCATATTATTAGTCGCCGGTAGAAACCGGCGACTATATTTGTAATAGTTTAATATTATACCTATGGTAGGAGAAGCCCTTAAAATCTGAAAATAAAAACATATCAATCATTGAACAATTAAAGACAACAATTATTTTTCAGTAATCACAAAAAATCAAACATATGATAACTTTGCTCAGTGGAATGAAATATGCACATATTGACGTCTTAAAAAGCAACATTACAATTTTCATAAAATGAATCAATAACGTATCCCTAAGGATCAGTCATTGAATATTAGAGATACTTTTACTTTTTTCTGTGTGCCAAGCATTGCTATTTTATGATATATAAATCATGAATGATATTTGAAATGACACTTTAGAATTATTTGGTTGTTTATTTTTTTATACATTGTAAGACCTTTTATATTACATTATTTTATCTAATTATAAACAAATGCTCCCTGGTCTTTCGTAAGAATCACGTGACTACATGTTTATATATGTTGTATATCGTTATAAAATCTATTTATAGTTACAGATTGCTGATAAGACAGGTAACTTGTTAATGGTGGTAACTGATAAGATGTAAATCATTGTAATTTTGTACAGATAATTACATAAGTTATTTTTCATTAATCAGGTTCATACTTTATATCATTAGAGAAACCTGTTTACATTAAAAATACATTTTTAAAACCTTTTCCTTTCTTCTTTGTAAAGGGTTTAACTTGGCCCTTTCTGTCAAACATTCGACAAGAAAGTTCAATTGTTTAGTTTAGGTTGAACATCCCAAAATAATGTTATGCTTAAGAGGCACATTATTGAAATATATAATGGTAATCGTTGATTTCGGTATATTCCGTCGGTTTCCGTCACGCAGGTTTCCAAAACGGTATGACGTCAGGGGTCCGGAATCGTATTAGATACATAGAAAAAAATAATAAACTATCTTTGTGTTGATAGTTTATCGCACTGAAAGGCAATTAAACGTTAATTTTATATATCGTATGTAACGATTGGAATACGTGTATTGATTTCAACTAAATTATATATTTTTTCTATAGCACATAATAATGATGTACAACACTTTTACAATAAAATTGTATTGTTTCATGTAATAATTAAACATATATTTTTTCATCGTCACTTTGCAAATATTCGATGATCGGTTATTATTTGTCGGTAATTATCTAAATCTGCACTAGTAACCTATACGAATTTCAATGTATGGTACAACAGTATATGTATAAAGTAAAATTACGAGAAGAATTACCAGCATAGCACTTGCCTTACAAGCCTCAGTGGCAAACATTACTCAACTCATTGTTCCTCTTATTTTTATACTTGAACCATTAAACTTATATTTTCTTATATTTATGATAATAAAATCATTTTTCTATCCGGCGACTTGATGCTTTAGCATCAAAATCTCTACTTGTTACATTTGTATTTGGTTTCAAATTAATGTCTTCAATTGTGCTGAAGATTGATGTTACATACTAAGCAATAAAGGACTGTAAAATATTTTTTCGAGATTAATGTTCCATTAGATGTTAGTCTAGCTCTATAACTTGTATGCAAATATTGAAAATTCCAAATAATTCACTTTCTCTGTTTCCCAAATCATTATAATTGTGGTAAATTACCCGAACTTGGTTTAAACATATTTATTCAACAAACATATAACTTTAACAAAACACTTAACCAGTGAACAATGTTTACAAGGTACATTTTTGGATTGGGCAGAAAGCTCTAAAGGTTATGAATGACCTATCCCAAACGTGAAAACCATTACAATGCTGTTCACTCAAATCAGGCTAAGAATAGCACAAATGATTTCCGAGTATACGTCTTAATTTTTTTGGCTTATATTTCCGTTTTAAGTGCAAAAAATCAAATTTTAATTATTAGGCTTTATTATGCTTTTTGTTTTCAGTGCAGTTGCTTTGACTAAGAATGTTCCGAGCTCACAAAGGGCTAATAATCAGTCAAAATCAGTGTCAGCGTAATGGTTCATGGATAGTGACCTGTATATATTGTCACGAAAATAAGTATTTAAGATTAAAGTTACTGGAAATACCTTCAGTAAGTTTACAAAGGGTCATGATTCAGTAAAACCTACCTTAGAGTTATGGGTTTGGGATGAATTTTGTTTTGTTCTAGAATTTTGTTTTTAAAACAAGTGACATGGACCTTGAAATATACTAAATTTTATTTGTTCCATTTTTCTTCACACATTAATTTTTATGAGACAGTAATATTTTCCTTAAAATTTTGCATTGAAAAAAAAACACTACAGAATAATCATCAACAAGACTAGCCTGCGCATCCGAGCAGTCTGATCAGGATCCATGCTGTTCGCTATCAGTTTCTCTACTTGTAATAGAGTTAACGAACAGCATGGATCCTGATCAGACTGCGCTCATGCGCAGGCTGGTCTGGATCCATACTGGTCGCAAACGCACTATGTTGGTTTTGTTGTGACGCGGCACAAATATATTGTATATGGTGTCATAAACAAACAAACAAAACCTCACTACAATCAAAAGTTGCAATAGTAATTCTTAAAATTCGTTATGTATGAAATGAATGATACCATTATGACAAACAAACCGGACTGCTCTTAATTATCACTGAATGAAAATTTATTTATTTATTTAAGTCCCATCTATACATGTATACATATATATATAATATAATAACATAAAATACAAACATAAAATACATGTCTAGCCCATTCAAAACATAATTACAGGGTCCTGTTTATTTCTCAGGGAGGACAACGCACTGAAGAGTTGTCTCCCTTACCAACACACAATTATCACACTTTAACAGGTTTTGTTATATTTTTTAAAAACACATGATAAAAATAAATGTATATTAAAAACTAAAATATCACAACTCGATATCAAAACAATGTGTACTATAGCATGAACATCGTTATTTTTTTCAAACAGCCATAGTAGGAAACATAAATTCCACTTTTAGCCCAGTAATCTGATAAAGAAGAGATCCCTCGAGAGAGCAATGATATTAAGTCAAATACTCGGTTTGATCTTAAAAGACGTCTTCCCGTGTTTGACTGTGAAAATGTAAATAACATGTTTATCTACACGAGAAACAATATACTGTTCAGGAAACTAACAGTACAATTTCTGTAATACTGTACGTTTGTTACGTCGCTCGTGACCTCAATATAATCTATACACATGGCTGCTCTCAATTGAAAATGAAATGTTTTCCGTATTTTCTCAATTAAAGAAAATATACTGTACTCAAAATTCGTTATACATATGTCTGAAAGGTTTTATGGCCGTGCATAAATGGTTGCTTACAATAAACCATGCACCAAGCACCTGGTGTATGAAAGTTAACAACCATATATTATCATCAAACATCGGGACTTTCGGACTTTAATAAAAAAGAAAATGTCAAAAACAGTTCTGTATATATAGCCATTTTAAAATCAATTTGTTTTTATTCAGTAAAAGATTAAGAGACAGCACTTACCATATTCATAGTGAAATAATTTATAACAAAAATGAAATATAATAATTAATTTATTGTATAAGCAAGATAAAAAATATCAGAAACACATTGCTTCACAGAAAACACTTATAAATATCACAGTAAAAGTAATTGTTCTTTCTTCATCATCCTAAAAAAAGTTCATTTTCTGTTTCCATACAAAATTGTTTTATATACATACATTTATATGTGAAATGCCATTATCATTCAACAATTTTGAACGGTAAAAAATCAAGAACACGTTCAGATTAGCAATTAAAAAAAAGGAAAACACAACATATATTACAGCAAAAGTGATTGCTTTTACTTCATCTAGAATACGAAGATCATTTTCATTTTTGTGTCCATACCAGAGCAGAGAAAATAATTGAACAGCAAGTTGGAGAAGATGAAAAGCTGTTCAAAACTACAAAATGCCTGTAGTAATATAACAACAGTAGTCGATGACTTAAAATTTAACTAAATGTGATATAAGTGTCATCAGGTTTGTTATTTCAAGACAAACTTCTGGTAAATAAATCGGTGAAATAAATTTTCCTTTAAATAACAAATTTAATTTATTAGAGATTAAGGCAATGAATTAATGCTAAAACTTATTTAAATGTGAAAATAAACTTTTTTTTGCTATTTCCGTTTCTCAAGTCATTAAGAAGAAATCTTAATCACTTTTATCTGTTCGTACGTACACAAATCTGTGCTTATTTGTTTGAAGGTCCCTGAAACGGCTTTGAAAGCAGTCTGGTTTGCCTTAACTTCAAATATGGCAAGACCAGAGATCAGTCCTACATTAACGTGTACATCTACTAGTGTTATAATCGTCTTTGTTATCGTTAAAATGTGCCTTATTTACACAGCATCATTTGCCAAACCAAAATGTTGAACGCGACATACCAGGAGGCATTTTACCAGTGTCATTTAATTGTCATCATCAATTTGCTCGTTATTCTCCAATCTGACCACTATTTCGTTGATGTAGTTAAACAGACGGCCGGCATATTCTCGATGTTCTCTGTTTTTATCTGGATGCCACCTCAGCAATAAACGTCGGATAATCCTTTTCCGATCAGTTTCATCTCGTGTCCAAGCATCTTTTAACATTTGTCTGACACGTCTACGGTTTTCGTCAATAGGAATGCAACCAATAGGCTCAATGTCATTCATAACTAATTCTATAATCTCCTCCAGTTGTCTTGGCTTGAATCTATACAGCCGGTTTATTGAAACAGTTTTTTTTTTCAAATGCTTGTCCTTTCACTCTTGTCACACGAGCATTGGCAAGGTTCTCTTTTTGTCACAAGCTTTCTTTTCTCAATGTATAAATGAAATCTACAAATATATGATATAGTTATAGCCAATTAAAATTACAATTCAAAGACAATCAGTTTAATGATTGCAAAATAGTTACAGTCAATAATAGCAAACTTCAAGGAAAAATGTATTTATTGTCGGAATCATACACCGTAACTTATCATTTTCTTATAAGGAAATAATCGGAAGTTATGTTTTGGCGGCAATAGTGCACGAGTTTTTCGTAATTAGTATAGTGTGCATTCGAGGTCTATTTGTCAAGCCGTTTAGATGCGAAATTTCAGAAAATATTGAATTATTTTCGACTATATCATACACAAAGTATGTCCGTGAAGTACGCGGGCTAACGGGCTAGCAGTCTAGCGGGCTAACAGTATGAACTGAGCAGGCTAGCAGTCTAGCGGGCTAACAGTGTGAACTGGGCGGGCTAGCAGCCTAGCGGGCTAACAGTGTGAACTGGGCTGGCTAGCAGTGTAGCGGGCTAGCAGTGTGAACTGGGCGGGCTGGCGGGCCAGCGGGCTAAAATCTAAAACTTTATTGATTCAACATAAAAATGTTATGATACATTAATTGGCAGTGTAGCGGGCTAGCAGTGTGAACTGGATGGGCTGGCGGGCCAGCGGGCTAAAATCTAAAACTTTATTGATTGAACATAAAAATGTTATGATACATTACCTGGCAGTGTGAAGTGGGCGGGCTAACAGTGTAGCGGGCTAGCAGTGTGAACTGGGCGGGATGGCGGGCTAGCGGGCTAAAATCTAAAACTTTATTGATTCAATATTAAAACCTTATGATACATTTCCTAGCAGTGTGAATTGGACGGGCTGACAGTGTAGCGGGCTAGCAGTGTGAACTGGGCGGGCTGGCGGGGCCAACGGGCTAAAATCTAAAACTTTATTGATTGAACATAAAAACGTTATGATACATTACCTGGCAGTGTGAAGTGGGCGGCTAGCAGTGTAGCGGGCTAGCAGTGTGAACTGGCGGGCTGGCGGGCCAGCGGGCTAAAATCTAAAACTTTATTGATTCAACATAAAAATGTTATGATACATTAATTGGCAGTGTGAATTGGACGGGCTGACAGTGTAGCGGGCTAGCAGTGTGAACTTGGCGGGCTGGCGGGCCAGCGGGCTAAAATCTAAAACTTTATTGATTGAACATAAAAATGTTATGATACATTACCTGGCAGTGTGAAGTGGGCGGGCTAACAGTGTAGCGGGCTAGCAGTGTGAACTGGGCGGGCTGGCAGGCCAGCGGGTTAAAATCTAAAACTTTATTGATTGAACATAAAACCTCATGATACAGTTCCTAGCAGTGTGAATTGGACGGGCTGACAGTGTAGCGGGCTAGCAGTGTGAACTGGGCGGGCTGGCGGGCCAGCGGGCTAAAATCTAAAACTTTATTGATTGAACATATAAACGTTATGATACATTACCTGGCAGTGTGAAGTGGGCGGGCTAACAGTGTTGTAGCGGGCTAGCAGTGTGAACTGGGCGGACTGGCGGGCTAAAATCTAAAACTTTATTGAGTCAACATTAAAACCTTATGATACATTTCCTAGCAGTGTGAATTGGACGGGCTTACAGTGTAGCGGGCTAGCAGCGTGAACTGGGCGGGCTGGCGGACCAGCGGGCTAAAATCTAAAACTTTATTGATTGAATATAAAAACGTTATGATACATTAATTGGCAGTGTGAAGTGGGCGGGCTAACAGTGTAGCGGGCTAGCAGTGTGAACTGGGCGGGCTGGCGGGCCAGCGGGCTTAAATCTAAAACTTTTTTTATTGAACATAAAAACGTTATGATACATTACCTGGCAGTGTGAAGTGGGCGGGCTAGCAGTGTAGTGGACTAGCAGTGTGAACTGGGCGGGCTGGCGGGCCAGCGGGCTAAACTTAATTGTATCTACATGAAAACCTCATGATATATATTTCTTAAAAGTGTGACAATATGAAAACCTCATGATACATTTCTAAGAAGTGTGAAGTGGGAGGGCTGGCGTGTTCATGATTCATTAACTGAAGTCGGCGTTTTTTCATCATGGCAAAGAAACAGGCACAGTTATGGACTTACAAAAGGATTAAAACCAAAACCTTTGTACTCGAGCCAACTTGTGGCGAACTGGTTAATATACCGGACTCTCAGTCCAGGGGCAGAGATTTTTCTGGGGTCACTCCTGTCAAATATTCCGTATTAGAATTAAACCATGGTCTCAACCAACCAGGGATGATTATGGAACTGGCATCTTTTGTTTTAATAGCAAACTCTAGACATTTTTAAAACTCCTAATCCCGGCAGGCTGAAACAAACTACGGACATTAACACTTAATTTAAGTGCTTTGACCGAGTATACTCAGCCTTTGCGAAAATTGAAAATCCACATCAGTCGGTGCGCATTCGCGCCGTCTGCCAAGAATCTACACTGTTTACTGCCCAACCACTGATTATGATTCTAGTGTCCAGGCACCGAACATTGTGGAACCTGATCAACCGGCTATTGTTGGCGCCTATTGATATAACTCAAAAACGAGAACGGTGACCCCAAATTCTTTTTTGCTTAAAATGTTTCTGTTATCATATTTTAACAACATGCCAAGTTTAAAGAAATTCTATTGAACAGTTTTAATTTTGCCTATATGCCTATATGAAAACTCCCGAAAACGTCATTAAGGGTTAAAAATAAAATATCAACCATAAGAGTTTTTGTCGTCTTTTTATTAATAAAAAGTTTCTGCGCCGATGGCAACAGTTGCTTCTCTGTGATCAAAATTCTGATTTTCATTTTTTCAATACGGGCGTTGACAAGAAAATACAAGAAAATGCGAGTTTGTTATCGTATGATATTTTCAATAGATAGAACTTATGCTGGGCTTCGCGTGGCTTGCAATAAGTTCCATAAAATTAAAAAAATAAACAATAACCTATACTTATAACAATCTCAAATATTATGCAAAAGTTATTTTTCAAAAAAATATTAAGAAATGTCAAGGAACAGTATTTGTGGTTAATAAACCTTTCGAAAATTTCGAAATTTTTTACGAGCTTATGCATTCTTACTGACAACATGCAACATAAAAATATTTCTGAATACATACACAACCCAACAAAGTTTATGTATCGTGGATGTGCATAATACATTAGTTCAAACGAATGAACAAACATGAAAATCAATACATGATAAAACGTTAGATAATTTTCAAAAATATGAAAATGAATGACAATTGTTGAATAAATTTTGTCAAACATATTGCAAATTGTCCATTTATATAATGACAGTAACTTAGCGTTTGATGCTATGGTAATTCTTTGTTGTTCTTAGGTGTGTGCCTTAAAATGATTTTAGATTTTCGAGAAAAAAAACAACATAATTTAAACAAGAAATCAATAATACAGTCAAATCAAGATAACTTGATCAAATTTGCCATGCATATAGATTAATATACCTTGAATGAAAATATTGTATGCATGATTACAACATATGAGAGAGTCACATAAACTAAATGTATTTATTAGAAGCAAAGATATCCCTAACTCTGATATAACTAGCATTAGACAAACTGTCGTTCATTTCTGGATGACACTCGAATAGACATTAGTTAAAAATAAGAAAAATTACTTGCCCATAAAGGTTAAAAAGCTATAAAACATGCATATGGCTACAAAATCAAATATTTTCAACCTATAGGTAAACGATGATATTTATCAATTACAGATAATACGGAAAATATAAGGTTAAAAAATAAGTTTTTAAAAGTAAAACACTATGTTATACAGTTAAATTGTCCAAAAAATTATGCAGAGAAGTTGTTGAAAATGAGATGTTAATAGTGTGTCATATAGCTTCTGTTTCAAAATCACATTATTCATTACAGTTTGGAAACAAACAAAAAATTGAAACAAAATGACAATATCCGGATTAAGTGCTAACGAAATTTGTAGTTCAATAATAAAACTCAAATTTACACAGTACAAGTAAAAAGATACTATGATGTCGTTTCAAGATGTCTATTCAAATTCTAATTTATATTCAATAAAGTTTAAACGAAAGAACGAAAGATGGTTCCCAAAAAATTATTTAAAACTAGACTGTGTCCTCAGGACACTGATGCTCCCACTGCTGCAACAACATGTGTAACAAACCTTTGCATCAGGTATTAAGAACAAGTGGTGATCATGACTCCATGAGGAGTAAGTGCTGTAAAATTTTATGACTAACATAAAGAAAAGGTATTGACTCTGGAGAAAATGCTTGCAAGAAAAATTCCTTTACAACAATGTACACATAATGTCTAGTCATCTGTGCAAGTTTATTAGAAATCAGCCAAGTAGAAAATGTGAAGTTGATGCCACAAAATGTTATGGCATAAAAATGTTATGAGTGGCAATAACAAAAGGCCATAAGTCTGGTAAAAATGGCAGCAGGAAAAAAATAATTTCTTTACAATCATCTATAAATCCTGCTTGATCATCTGTATAAGTTTAAAAGAAATCGGTCAGGGAGTTAATGAAGAGCTGATGCCACAAGATTTTATTACTGAACTTATCAAAGGGCCATAACCGTGATGAAAATGGTCGCAGGAAAAAATATTTTCTAAACAAGAGCCATGTTAGCATGGCCATCCCCAGCCAAATGTGTTTGCTCATTGTAAGAATGTATATGTAGTAGAGCAAAATAATTCAATTTAAAGAGGTCTTTTGGTAATGAAAACTGATGGGTGAAGTGATTACAGATTTGAAACCTATGTGAATACTGATGGCTGAAAATAACAAAGGGCAATAACTCAAAAATTATGCAGGTAGAGTTATCATTCTTGTGTGCTGCACTCATCCTCTATGAGATCTATCCACCTATGAAGTTTCAAGTTTATACCACTATATGAAAAATAACAAAGGGCAATAACTCAAAAATTATAAAGGGTAGAGTTATCATTCTTGTGCACAGCATTCCTCCTCAATAAGATCTATCCACCTATGAAGTTTCATGTTGACATCTCAAAGACTTTGAGTTATGCTCCACTCA